CTCTCTCTCTCTCTCTCTCTCTCTCTCTCTCTCTCTCTCTCTCTCTCACACACACACACACACACACACACACACACACACACACACCTCAATAAACTTTAGTGGCTATCACCCCCAGGATCAAATATAATCCTCTGTTTGGCATTCAAAGCCTTTTATAACCTGTTCCTGCAGTCCCTCAGTTGGCTGCAAACTACACCTGTCCTCTCAGTCCTGGAACTGAAACTAGGGACTCTGCTCTCCTGCTAGTGCTCACAGCCTGCACAGTCGCTGTTTCTCAGCTGTGACATTCACCTGACTTCTGCTAGCTCCTTCTCCCCAGAGCCTCAGCCCAAGAGTGTCCAGTCAGCAGAACTGTGCTTGGCATTCCATGATAAAGGAAGGTCCTTCATCCCTCTCCTATGCAGTCATCAGACCCCCACACAGTCTGTGATAAGAGTTTCTAATGCTGAGTCTGCCTCTCAACCCCAGCCAACCCGAGGGTTTATTGCTTGTTGATTCTGCAGAGTTGACCTGGAGGTGTTGACACTTAGCTCAGGCCCACCTTCTGCCCTGGAGGTCTGGTCTTTCCTTTAATCTTCTCTGTTATCTCAGGAGAACTGCTTTACCCTTATTTTGTTCATTTCTACTGCTCTACATTCCCTCTAAGGCAATATTCTGTCTTTTTCTATAGAGGAAATTTAGAGAGATAAAAGTTTCTGACCTATTCTGCTATCTTCCCAGATCACTCTCCCATAATTCCTTATAAGAAAATGAACTGCCTTTGCATCAGCCTATCAAAAAAGATATCAGTCATTACTAGAATTTTTTTAAAAAATGACTTTCAATAAAAAAATTTTCCTAAAATTTCCAAAAAGTTAAGTTGGATTTGCAACCTATTTAATATTTTTTTTTTGTCTCTGGCTAATGAATTGATAATGGATGAAAAAGAAAATTGTATTGACATGACAATGGGTTTTAGACTACAGATATTCAGAACTGATTGTCATAAACTTTTGGCTAAAATTAAAAATAAATTTTCATCACTTTGCAACAGAGCGTATAAAATTATCTTACAATTTTCTACCACATATTTGTGTGAGCAAACATTTTCACTTTATTCTTGTTACAATTCAAAATACAGAAATAAATGCAAAACCAGACTTAAAATTGTGTTTGTCTGCTATTGAGCCAAATATTACAAATCTTTGTTCAAATAAAGAAAATCCAAATCAAGTTTATATATGATTATTACATTACATTGAATAATTTCAAAGTTGTCACTTCATTTGAAATGTTTTTATTCAACAAAAATACAAAGAAATTCAATCCAAGTCTGGCAGATCATAGTTGGCATATGAAGTCTTACTGAATTACTTCTTTTAATTTTTAGAGAATATACAACATAAAATATTTTAACTGTTTTATAATCACAGTTTAATAATTTTACATTTAGTGGTCAATTGTATATTTTTAAATTATGTAATCTAAATTTTAATTTTTAGTTTTGAGGACAAAAGTTATCATTTTAGATATTATAAGTAGTAATAATATTAAATTACCTTGGAGATTCATAATACATTTGTTGTTGTTGTAGTTGAAAGAAGGTCAAAAAACAAAGAAGTTGGAACCACTGGTCCCTTGATTTGGACTCAAAGACCTGAATTCAAGTTACCTGTGTGACTTTGGAGTGATTTCATTTCTCTAGGTTTCATTGTCCTCCCACGTAAATGGCTTCTAAGTTTCCTTCAGCTCTAAATCAAAGAAGATTCTATAGACTTCCTCCCTCTGAGTAAAAAACTGTTCCATGAAATTTACTTACAATGGCCTCTTCTAATATCTTACATTGCCTTTAGCAACCCGAGCTTCTTATAGCCTGCCTACTATAATAAAATGCTCTAACCAAGATTTCCTCACATTGATTTTTCAAAGGCTTTAAAATAACATTTAAACAGAAACTTTAGGTTTTCCTTTTTAATAATAGAAAAATACAGTGGTTTCATCACATGGATAATGTGATAGATAAAGCATCTGCAACAGTCTTAAACATTTGGTTTTTGGAATGACAACCCAGAGGTGACCTTTCCTGAGGGTCTTTGAAGAAAGTCACTGTGGTTATTTCAAAAAGAAAAAAAAATGTTCTTTGAAAGCTTCATGATTTTTTCTTTTCTTAGAAGAATAGGACAGTGACAAAGGTGAAAGATGACAAGAGTGTTATCTAGATCAATGTCACGAATTCCATGAAGCCATTGTTGAATCAGGAAGAAGCTTTATTAATGACCTGAGATGGCCAGGTGTCCCACATATATGAAAGCATGTGTATCGACAAATGCACACCTTTTTATTCCCTATTCCCCATTTGAATTTCCTTCCCGTTTCCCCATTCGCTGGGTACTATAGAGGTTACAGACTATCTGAAGCATCTGATTTCCCCATGTGAGTCTCCACCCCTAATTACATCTCCCACTCCCCACAATTCAGGGACCCTGATCCTTTCCTGGGAACACCCCTTTTGATGTTAATCAATACCTAACCTCAGAACTGGTTTTCCAGCTGTTATTCTATTCACCACCAAGAGTGTTTTCTTATTCTAATATAACTCCCTTTGTTTAACTTCCACCTAGCCCTCAGACTGTATTCCTTTCCACTAGACTTTTGTGGAAATAATAATTTAAAAAAAAACTGTTTCTCACATTCCTTTCCAGTTTTAAACTGACTCCAATCTCTGATTGAGTGATAGGCAGAAGCAACATCCATATATTCCACAAAAAGGATAACCAGAGTATTCCAATGTCCAAATGTCAGGAGAAAAGAAGGCCTCCAGTGTGCAGGCTGCAGACTCTTTATGGTGAACTCAAGGGAGGACAAGAAGGAAACAGGATGGGCAGGTATAGATAGGCATCAATAAGGCCTCACTGGAAGTCAGACACTCCTAAATCCATGAGATCACAGATTCATTTGAATATCTGAGTACAGGAATAATGAATGAGGAAAATGTTTAATTTCTATCCAGACTTCAATAGGATGAAAACTTTGAGGTCAAAGGATATGCTGTGCCCTACTTCTCAGTAGAGTCTTTCCTTTGGTACAGGAGAGAGAGGTGCATGTCTTAGATAGGAGATGACATCCTCTTGTCATTCCAGAAGGTTTTAGGCAGAAGAAGAAGCTTCCTGAGTGCCCCTCCTAGGTGGGAGTTGCCAAGGATCAGGACGAAGGGATGAACCGATGTGGACAGGTAAATCAAAATTTGCCATGGCCAGTACCAGGGACCCTCAAGTCCAGACAAGAGAGTAACATCAATGATCAAAGAAAGAAAAGAAACGGCATAAAGGACTAGGAAGGAGACCAGAGACTTCAGAGCCCTGGTGTGAACCTCAGTACTAAAATCCTGAGTACTGTGGGCACCATGTTGCATTTTAGAGGAGTGTCTCTGCAAAGAGGTAATCAGAAGAACTATTGAGACTAGAAAGATAGAACAGGGGATAGACAAAGTAATGAGTTTCAAAGGGAAAAAATAGTGGATTTCTAGATTCTTAGTGAAACTATGATAGGTTATGTTCCCAGAGAATGTCCCCTGGAAGAATGCCTGGTACAAAGCATTGTTCCCCACAAAATACAGCATGGTGACAATGAAAGAGATTAGCAGAGAGACTAGTAGGAACCAGGGTACCAGTTCCTTGACTCTCCACTTCAGCCAAAGGAAAATGGGGTGAGTGAAGTTTGCAATCTTCACACAGAAGAGGACGCTAAGCCAAGCAGAAAACCAGAATGTGGTCGAATTCAGAAAATCCCAATAAATTCTAAAGTACTGGCGGGCAGGCTCCTTGGAATATTGTAGGTGATGAAGAAAATAGTAAAAGTCGTGTATCATTCCAACCCACAGCATGCAGAAGCGGGAGGCACCCAAACTGATCAAGATCATGTCACAGGGAGACAGCCGGTGGCATCGAACCCATTCCCTTCCCAGTACCACAACAATGAAGCCATTAGCCATGATGCCCAGGGAGCACAACAGGACATAGAGAAACATGGCAAAGATCGTGAACGGTCCCAACATTTCAGTCACTCCTACAATGACAGCTCTTGCTTAGGTCTCTACTGGCCTCTGACACATGGAGCTCCCACTTTGCTTGATGAGATGTACAAGGAGAATGCTCCAGCCTTTCTCTCCAAGCCACAGTATAATTTGAGAACCCTGTGAGGTTGGGGAGGAAGGGTCTATGCAGCTCTGTGTGGATGCAAATCACCAGTTTTATTTACCTTTGCTCTTTTCAACTGCAAGTGATTTGCATTCCCTGCCTGATCAGTGCAAATGATTTCTCTCAGCTCCTATCAAGGAAATAGTATTGTATCTATTGTATAGGATCTATTGTATCATAGATCAAGAGCTGGAAGGGTCTTCAGAGGCCACTTAGTCCCATCCTCAAATTTTGTATGTGATACCCTGTCATTATAGGTAAGAGTAAGAGAAAGAAGAATTACGTTTTTGTGACTATATGTACAAAATATTCTTTTTCAAAGATGACCACTCCTCCAGTAGTGGCCTTTACCTAGTGGTGAACAAACAGGGAAGAGAACATAAATGGTAAACCTGTTAATAATCTCAGTTTTGAAAATGAACTAGAAATCCAAGTTGACCCAGAAAGAAGAGGCATGCCTACAGGAAAAAGAATTGGAAGGGGATAAGAGAAGGGGGGAAGTGATAGAAGGGAGGGCAGATTAGGGGAAGAGTTATTCAGAATGCATGCAGTCTTGGGGTGGGGGAAGAGGTGAGAAAGGGAGAGAATTTGGAACTTAAAATCTTGTGGCCGTGAATGTTGAAAACTAAAAGTAAAATAATTAATAAGAAAAAAACCTACATAATTACCATCAAAAAAAGAAGAGGCATGGAAAGGGGGTGACCTGGAAAGGAGGGCAAGCTTCTAACAGGAAGACAATCAGAGACTGCCAGAGACCTTTACACAGAATGACATGGAGAAGCCAGGCATCCCTTCAGTCGGGCCCTGAAGGATTGAAGCCAAGAACAGAACCAGCCATAACAACCAGCTAGTAAATTTACTTCAGCAAAATGAGAATAGAGATAAATGTGTGAAAAGTACTTGAAATATTATAGGTGTCAGAGCCACCAAACTTCCAGGGGGATGAAGGAAGTAATAATATATTAATTAAAGATGGCCTGAAGCCCAGAAGAGGAATGGCCAGAGAACAATTTGTATGAAAAAGGCAAGGTGGGTGCAGTGTTAGTGGATGCAAACTCAACATGAGTCAGTAGATGATGTGGCGGTCAAAAGAGCTAGTGTGAACTTAAGGTGCATCAAGAGAAATATGGTGTCCAGAACCAGGGAGATTTCAAGTTCCATTATTCTCTGCCCTAGTCAGAGCATGTTTAAGTATCATATTCAGTTTCAGATGCAACATCTTAGGAAGAATGCTGAAAAGAGAAGGGCCATCAGGATGGTTAAGAGACAGGAAACCATTCACTTTGGGAACTGGCTCAAGAAACTGGGTTTCTTTAACCTGGAAAAAAGAAAACAGATGAATAGCAATTCTTAAATATTTGAAGAGGAATTTAGTTTGTTTTGTTTCGTTTTTTTAGTTGTATGGAAAGGGCAGAATTATGAGCAATGCTCAGAAACTGAAAAGCGACAGATTTTGGTTTGATGTAAAGAAAACTTTCCTAAAAACTAAAGGTACCTCAAAATGAATGGACTACCTTAGGAGGTCATGCCTTCTAAATAATGGAAGGTCTTAAAATGCAGGCTGGAGATCACTTGTCAGGTATATTTTAGTGGGGTCATGGGCAGCCACTGAGATATCTTCAAACTCCAAACATCTCTGATTTTATGAACCTTGGGGACCAGAATGGAAAACACCTTCTCAAGCTTGGGCGCTCACACTTGGAACTAAGGGCTAGGAAATGAGGTACAGAAAAGTTAAGAAACCTTAAAGCCTGTCTAGCATAATGATTAGCTAGGCATTGCTTTGCTTCTCTGAGGAAACAGGAGCTGATGACCTGTGTCAATGTCTGTCCTTAAGAGGCAGCTTGTAGCACAACGGAGTGCTGGGTTTGCAGTCAGGTAGATCTGAATTCAAATCTAGCTTTAGACGTTTGCTAGCTGTGTGACACTGAGCAAGTCATTTAACCTCTGTTTGCCTCAGTTTCCTTAATTGTAAAAATTGGGATTCAAATATCACCTGCTTTGCAGAGTTGTTGTGAGGATGAAATGAGATTATATTTGTAAAAGTGATCAGCATAGTGCCTGGCATAGAGTAGGTGCTGTACAAATGCTCCTTTCCTCTTTTCCTCCCCTTTACCTAATGTCATGGTTTGCCCAGGGTTTAGCTCTGGAGAAACCCTGACTTCTCAATAGGAGAAGCAGGTTACCCATTTCTCAGTTTCATTTGGTTCATCACATCCGCAAGTCTATTCTTGGCTCTACTCCAGGATTTCCCAAAAGGGGGGAGATAAAAGATATGTCCAATGCATCATGTGAACTAAATAAAAGAGAGAGCATCTTATTCCCAGAAGCAAGGATAAAGAGAATCACTGTGTTCATTGACAGAATATTTTAAGCAGGACTCAGAAATTCCATTTTTAAGTACATTACAATATATGGGAGTCAGGTAGCAAGCTTCATCAAGACAAAATGCAGTCTGACAATTCTGCTAATTAGATTTTCACATTTTACTTCCACTGAGCAAAGCTGAATCAAATGCAAAGTGTGATCCAAGAATGTTCTTCTTTTCTGGTGGCCTCTCTCTCTGATGCTGGTTCTTCCCTTGGCATTGGATCACTCCAGCTATTGTTATTATGACCACAATCAACCACCCAAGTGGACATTGAACTCACAGCCTCACTGGTCTCTCAGGACTTCAGGACTTTTTGAAACTCACTAGGTTGCATGGACTTTTCCTGAACTTATCAAGGTCACTGCTAAGTCACTTGGTTGGGAAAAGGAAGAACAAGAAAACTGAGGCAGCCCCATCCCTAGTACAAATTTGCTACCTAGGACATGCGGGAATGAATGTATAGGGCCAAGAGGGAAATAAGGCTTCCAACATTCCACCAATCCCAACACTACTCTCTTGGACACAGCTCCAAAAACTCCTCCCTTCAAACTTGGAAAGAAATAGTAACACTGAGGGGGCAAGGTCATCCCTTTAGGATATCCACAAAGTTCTAGTCCCTCAACCACCTAGGGAACTCAAACCAGTGAAGAATTATACATAGCCAGAAGCAGGTAGGGGATGCTCAAGTTTCCATAAGGTCTCCAGGAAAAAAAAGGAAGAACACCCACTACTCATGAATGGAACTTATCTAGAAAACAAAGAGGATGGCCCAACTGACTCCAGAAACTAAGCTTGGACAAAGGAGTTCATTCAGGATACAGAGTGTTGGGAGGGGGACAGGGAGATAAAGAAGACAGCTAAGTAATAATGGAAGCCTATCTTTCTCTAATTTTATATGCAAAACTAACACTAAATTATAAAGACTATGTAATCTGTAACATTTCCACATTTCTAGTACAATGAGAAGATTGGTTGATGAGGTTCCAGTTCACAAGTCCTTAAAGCACATGCAATATACTCTGCCTCTTGACAGTACATATGGAAGCTTTGGTGAGATTGCTTCTGGAAATGGGTGATGGAGGGGCCCCTAACCTTACCCATAAACACTCCAGGGCCTGCATGGGCTTGTTGAATGCTGACAAAAAAAAGCCTTTTGATTGGCTATCAAACCAGAACTATGTGTGCATACAAAAGGCTCTAATGGACAAAATTTCTTTCTCTTCTCCGGCTATTTTCACGTAAAGAAAAGAAATACATGGGTTGCCGGGGGTGGGAAGAAAGGTAGCCCTGGCCATTGATACTAGCTGCCTTGTCTCTCCACCTGGTCACCATGTGGCTATGAATACATCATGCCTCTGTTTCTTTTGTCTCTTTGTATTTTTTCTTGCCTGATCTTAAGTGAATTGACCTTGTGAACTTCAAAAGCTGTACACTTATTATACCTTTTTCTTTGAATCTGGATGTCCTGAAAGGATGATAGAGACATTTTTCTTGTTTTCACTAGAGGTCTCAGTGGTTCCAGATCTTTAGAAATTGCCCTTGGGCCATTCTGTGAAGAAAAGATTCTTTCAATCTTGGCCCCAAAGGAAGCCCCAAAGAGTCATCAGTTACAGACATCTGGAACTCACTGGCAGAAGGAGACTTAGACTAAGATAGAAGGGGATCAGAAATTGGTGAAAAGCACATTTAGTCTCAGTGCAGGTCTTTCTCCCTTGGCACAGGCCCCAGTTTCTAAAGTAGCTGGCTCTTTCCTTTCCCTTCACATGAGTTTGTAACCTAAGTTCTTTTAAAAATATATGGCGGGTTTTTTTTTCTGTGATTGTATTTCAACATAAGAAGCTTCCATTGTAATTGTGAATGTTTCATTTTTTGCATTTAAAAACATTGTTCTGAGACAGGAATATAGACTTAACTGGACAGTTAATGGGATCTGTGACCCAAAAAAAGGTCAAGAATCTCTGATTTAGCAGTTAATTTTAACTGCCTCTTGATGGAGGACTATAAGAAACAGGCTAGATCAGCTGCCATAAAGGGGTCATAGGAATATATAGCCAGAAAGGATTTCAGAAGCCATCTTTTTTAACCTTCTTTGTGTCTGGTCCCTTTTGAAACCTGGTGAAGTTTATGGACCTCTTCTCAGAATAATGTTTTAAATGAGTAAAATAAAATATGTAGAATTACAAAGGAAATCACTTATATTGAAATTGTTATCCAAAAAATACATATTTTTAAATTCATAGACCCCAAGTTAAGAACCCCTGATTTAGTCAAACCCATTCACTTTAAAGAAAAATTGAGGCTTGGAAAAGTTCAATGATTCATCCAAGGTCACATAGGTAATAGACATCTGGGCAAGGATTTGAACCCAGGTCATCTGACTCCAGAACTAGTGTTCTTTCCATTGCCTCTCCCTTTCATAGAATATAGAAAGGCAGTTGGAGAAAAAAAGGGAAGATCCTCTAAACTTCAAGAATCAGTTGGGACATG